TCCTGAACTCCATCAAAGGTAGGGGGCTTCGTATTGTCGAAATCCCGATACTGAAAGCCCCGACTGGCTCCTCCCCCTGCCGCTGCGGCTGCAGCGGCCGCTGTCTCTGCAAGAGCTGCATAGCGCTTATCAAAATACTCAACCATGGCGGTCTTGATCGACCCAAACATCTCTAGCAACTCAACCCTAAACATGGCAGCAACCTCATCATGCAAGATCTCACGAATCCTGGCATCCAACTCATCCGTACTCATCTGACCAATGACCTCGGGTGGTCCTGGTCCATCCTGACCACCCTCTCCTGATCCCGATCCGGATCCTAACTCGAAACGTCTCGCATCCTCCATATTGCAATAAACCACAAGAATCTTAGATACCTCGCATAACCGCCGAGAACTAACCTCTAACCAACAACCTAGGGGTTGTGAATTCCTTGACACGCGTATGGGTCCTATGCTTTCAGTAGTACGGGCCCATACTACCTTCCACACCTACCCATATTTGTCTCAAGTATCATCACAACGCCCTAAGCACAAACATACATGGCAAACACTCAATCCTTACCCCTAGAGGAATACTTAATATCTCATAACAAGAAAACCCTAGGCTAGCAGGCATCACAAATCAGGCATCTCTATCATGCAATTCCTGAAGATCCTTAGCCTAGTACTAGCATGCTGTTCTAACATATCACATAAACAAATAACTTGTATGGTATTTTGGGGTAACTTACTGGCTCCGGCTGATCCTCTGCGTCCTCCTTTACTTATTTTGAAAACCATTTGAAAACATTTTTTGAAAAATCTCTCCTTGATTTGAGACTGGATTCACACGAATGTTCCTCCAATTCACTCAAACCAAGGCTCTGATACCAACTTGTAACACCCATAAAATTCAAGCCAATTTAAAACATTTTATTTCTTTTCAAAACCATTAAGTTCATACATCTTGTTTTCAAAAGAATTTAAACATCAGAGTATCCCCAGAACCATATCACAAAATCATAAAACATGAGGAGCGGTACGATCACCCCTTCGCCTTGCTACGATCTCCTGAAGCACCTGAAACAATAAACCACAACTGTAAGCCCGAAAGCTTAGTGAGTTTCCCCCAAAGCACACATACACACATAAACATACGCATACAGCAAAGAACAACATATTATGGGTCCAATCATCTCTCAAGATGGAATACCCCAGGCCCCTCAACCATCGGGTTGGAATGCCAACCTACTATGAGTCCAATCATCCTACCGGGATGGAATACTCTCGGCCCACAACCATCGGGTTGGAATGCCCATACACTTATACGTACAACAATAACTACTATGGGTCCAATCATCTCGCAAGATGGAATACCCCAGGACCCTCAACCATCGGGTTGGAATGCCAACCAGTCCATCATCCTACCGGGATGGAATACTCCTGGCCCACAACCATCGGGTTGGAATGCCCCACTTCCTATACATCCAGTAACTACTACTACTATGGGTCCAATCATCTCGCAAGATGGAATACCCCAGGCCCCTCAACCATCGGGTTCGAATGCCAACCTACTATGAGTCCAATCATCCTACCGAGATGGAATACTCCTGGCCCACAACCATCGGGTTGGAATGCCAACCTACCCTCGCAAGCATGCACACATAACAGGCAACCACATAATACTCTACAGAACCAACATACTAGGGCCCTATCATCCTACAGGGATGGAATACCCTCTGCTACTGCTCAACATACACAACCCGCAGGTAACCTCCTACCGGCGTACATAAGGCAAGACCAACTACAGGTCTATAAATAACCACTACCCAACTACCAGGGCGCTGATCCAACATAACTATCCATCACTTAACTATCCATTCCTCTAGGATACTAAGCTAATAAGGCATATCCACATATCATTATCCTATCTACCAGGATACTAGCAAGCATATTATCACATAACATAACAAGCTCTAAACAACAATTCAAAGGGCCGGCCTTGGTGCCTTAGACCCTTGAGTATAGTGAGGATAACTCACCTGAAATGAAGAACCGAACCACAGAAGCACACACCCGAAGCACTGCTCCAAACTCCAACACCTATTGCTATCAATGGACCATTGACATAAATAACCAATTACCATAACACCCTTGAAGGTCAAAGTCAAAGTCCTGGCCAAAGTCAAACTTCCTGACTGACCCTACTCGCCGAGTCAACCCGTTGACTCGTCGAGTCCAACGATCTTCGAGTCCCATCCTATCCAACTCACTGAGTCACCCCTCGACTTACTGATCTGCGTCTTAACCAGAAAAGGTTAAGGGTTCTGCAACCAGACTCGCCGAGTCCAAGGCAATCTTCAACAGACTCGCCGAGTTGTTCTTCAACTCGCCGAGTCCATGCACATGTTCATACAACTCGTCGAGTACACCCATGTGACTCGCCGAGTCTCTCCAGTTCTCAATCCATACAGAGGCTTTTCGAGCCATGCAGGGGCTCCAATCCATAGATCCACTCTTCTACAGCCTAACCCTCACATAAAGTTGCAAACTTTACGTGAAACCAAGGAGATATAAGCCCAAAACACTCTAGGGCTAGGGTTTAGGACGAAGGGGCTTCACCAACAACTCATTGACTGATACTTTATGACATTCTGGACCAGCTCAATACTCGATCTGAGATAGCAACCTCAGATCTATCTTCCAAACCCGAAATAACTCTCAATCATACCAAAAATGCCCCAATTCTCAAACAATAAAAGATCTAGATGCAAAAGAGCCCAAGCAACAGATTATTACCTCCAATATAAGCTCCAACTAAAGTAGATCCAGGATCTACACCACCCCTTTGCAGCAAGTTTTTTGATCTTCAAGCCCCTTTCCAAGATTTCCTCTTCCAAAGCTCTATTCTCTCTATTAATGGAGGCTCACTCGATTTTAGGGTTTCTGGATCTCAAAAGGGTAGCAAAGAGGCTGAGGGTGGGTTATAATGTTCTTTGTATAGGGCACAACCCCCGGGATTAGGGTTTTCTCTCTACAGCACCAACTCGTCGAGTCCAAGCCGCCGACTCGGTGAGTTGGCCACTTAATCCGCGATAAAATCCCGCTCCGAGTCGGCAAGTAAGCGGACCTACTCGTCGAGTCCCTTTCCTAAATTTACACTTTTGGCCCTTCATTGAACAATTGAAATTTGGGGTGTTACATTATGTAACTATGTTGTGGCAAATGGATACCAACTATGCTTCAAGAGGAATGACAGTAAAAGGTTGTTGGTGGTGTGTTGCAAAGGAGCTTGCCCATTCAGGTTATGGGCTACATGGATGAGGCAGGAGGTGTCATTTCAAATCAAGTCATTGAAGATTGAGCATAATTGTTCTAGAAACTTCAAACTAGGATCAATTGTCACATACTCTTGGATAGGAGAGCATTATACAAAGGAAATTTGCATAGACAAAAGTTAACAATTACACAATTGAGATTGGAGGTCATCAGGAAGTTTGGAATACAGGTTAGTTTGAGTTAATGCAGAAGAGCAAAGGCACATGCCACGAATCTTATCGAGGGGACTCTTACTGAGCATTATGCAAAATTATGGTCTTATGGGGAGGAAATTAGAAGAAGCAATCCAGATTCAACAGTCAAAATGGATGTCCAATGCATGCATGATGGTTTTGACTTACTTCAGTAAGTTCTATGTATGTTTTGCTAATGTGAAATCTGGTTGGTTAGAAGGTTGTAGAAACTGAGGTATAGATGGATGTTTTCCTTAAGGGTGTATGCAAAATTATGAATTATTGGGAGGAAATTAGAAGAGAGAATCTAACAGATTCAACAGTCAAAATGGATGTCCAATGCAGCATGATGTTTGACTTACTTCAGTAAGTTCTATGTATGTTTTGCTAATGTGAATCTGTTGGTAGAAGGTTGTAGAAAGGTGTTAGGTATAGATGGATGTTTCCTTAAGGGTGTATGCAATGGGGAATTATTGTGTGTTGTGGGTAGAGATGCTAACAACCACATATTTCTAGTTTCATAGGCAATAGTGTGTGTTGAGAATAAGGAAAATTGGATGTGGTTTCTGGAGTTGCTCAGAGATGATCTTGAACTAGGTATGGGCACTGGGTTTACCTTAACACCTGACCAACACAAGGGTCTTATGGAGGCAGTTAAGGATGTGCTTCCTTGTGTTGAGCATCGATAATGTGCAAGGCATATTGTTGCAAATTTTAAGAAGAGGTTTGCAGGGGCTATTTTTGAGAACCTTTTTTGGAAGGCTTGCAATGCAACAACACCACAATCTTTCAATGAATTCATGCAAAAATTTGAAAGGTTAAGTCCGGAAGCCCATAAGTACTTGATGGAGAAGGAACCAAAGACCTGGTCAAGAGCATTTTATGAGGTAGGGAGGGCATGTGCTGCAGTGGAGAATGGTATTTCTGAGAGCTTTAATGCAGTAATTTTTGAGGCCAGAAGGAAACCAATAATCACTATGTTGGAGGAGTTGAGGTTATATATCATGGAGAGGATGTTTAAATTAAAACACAAGAAATGGACAAAGGATGTAAGTCCTGCAATAAGGCAGTTACTAAATGGTTTAAAGATTGAAGCTAGGTACTGGCAAGTGCTCCCAAGTGGACTAAACAAGTTTGAGACAAGAAATGAAGGTCAAGCTTATGATGTGGATCTTGACAACAGGACATGTTCTTGTAGGTTATGGCAACTAAATGGATATGGGTGTGCCCATTCAGTTGCTACAATCTTATTTTTGAATAGGGATGTGGACACCTATGTGGATCCTATTTTCTGCAGAGCAAACTACAATAAAACATACTTGAATAATATCTTGCCTATGAATGGTAGTAATATGTGGCCAGAGACATCATTCACCCCACCCTTACCTCCCCAAAGAAGAAGGATGCCTGGAAGACAATTAACAAAAAGGAAGAGAGATGTGACAGAGAAAATGGGGAAGCATAAGTATCAAAGAAGGGTAAACCCATTGTGTGTAGTGCTTTTCATATGCCTGGCCACAACAAGGTGACTTGCCCCTCAACAAATAAGCCAGTTAAGCTCAAGGTGAAAAGACCAAAGATAACCAAGAATACACAGGTATATTGTAATGATGTTGTCATTTTAGCAAAGAAAATTTGTAAATCTTAAATATTGACATGTTACCTTGTACAGGAATTTGTATTTGAAGGGTCGGTGAATGGTGGTGCAGTAGGGGTGCAAGGATCAGTTAACAGTGTTGTAGGTGGTATACATGGAGGTGAAGGTGGTGTGCATGGTGGTGAAGGTGGTGGAGTGCATGGTGTTCGAAAGAAAAAGGCATTTTGAAACTGTACAGGTATACCCCTAATAATGTTTTTAGTATTATTAATGGAAGGGTAATATGGTAATTTTATTATTTGAAACTGTACAAGTATACCCCTAATATTGTTTTAAGTATTTTGAATGGAAGGGTAATATGGTAATTTTCTTATTTACAGGTGAAAGCAAGAGTAGTGGGGGTTGCAGTTAGAACAAGAAAGCATTCTGAGAGAATTTTGAAAACCAGACTTGCAAAAGCAGTGTATGGGAAAAATGGTGAAGGCAGCTCAAGAACAAATGCAGTGGATACAGATTAGGATTTGTCTCTTTACACACGTGTCATGTTTTGAACCTTTATGTTATGTAATAATTTATGTTGTTGCTGCATGGGGAACATTTTTGTCTTTTGAACCTTTACTTAACTTCACATGGATCCCCTAATTCTGTCGTTTGAACCCTATGTAATTTGTCTTTATGACTTATTGTTCTAATATCACATGTGATGGTACCCTACTATTTTATCACTATTCAATCCTTGAGTTGGTCCACAAATGTACACTCCTCCCAAAATTTTGTCATTTTAATCCGGATGTGGATCCCATGTGTGGTCCTCATTTGAATACAATACCCAATGCCTTTTACCTGTATTGGTCCACAAACTCAATCACTTTCACTTGTCTGTTGTACCCATGTGATATGCATTATATTCAATTGTTTTGGTCCACAATAACCAATGCCTTTTATCAGTATTCAATTGCACTTATCAAGACCATTCAGTGGAACAAAAGTATAGTAAAATAAAGATGCTTGTTTCCATTAGATACAAAAGTACATGGGGCATACAAAAGTTGATTAAATTACAGGGGCATTTACCAGACAAGGGAATTTACATCCATACATATACTAATCTATATCCTTCCAACCAAAAACCATAGAAGATCTTCATATCCCCAACCCCAAGTTTACAAAAAGGGAGAGCATCTATACCACCAAAAACCATTAACTACCCCCAATCCCTTAGCTCCAACCATATCTATCCCACCACCTTTGCTTTCTGCATCATCAACACAACAGCAAGAAGCACAAGAAACATCATAGCAATCCTGAACTTCAACCTCACGAACTTCAACTCACCCCTCAATTGTTTCTTTTCTTCAACAGTCATGGCTAACTCACCATCAACAATTTCTTTAGCAGCAATGGCTTCAGCATTCAGGTTCTCCAGCAAAGCTACCCTTCTCTCTAGTCTTGCAGCGTAACTAGTGTCTTTCATTAGTTTCAACTCATACTTGAGATTGTTCAAAGCATTCTTGTAGTGTGGTGTCAGCTCATAATCGATCCACTTGAAGTATTTACACTTCTCAGCTGCCATCTCCACCTACAAACAAACATACCAACGAAATATTTAGTCACACACACCAGAAGCTCGTTCCACTATCCACTTAATCGAGAACACTAAACCCTAAACTCAAAATTATCCCTATTGTTTGCTAAACCCTAATTCCACAATCTTGACAACAGACTTAAAGAAGACGATGCTTACCAAAGAGTCAATGCGGTTGCGAAATCTACGAGCTGGATTCTTATCTGACATCGACATCCTTTCTACGCTTAACTTTGGATGACGACAAGCGCACAGGTCGTTGTCACGATTCCTAGTAGCGAGAACAGCGTGGTTATCAGATGATGATCTAGATGAGTATGCCATCGAACGAGAAGCTAATCAATTCTTAAGGATTCGTGACCTGAAAAGTAAATGTTATAAACTGGAAATGATCTTGAATATCTTGTCTTCATTTAGGGCACTCTAAATAGCGTATTAATGAAGCCGATCCGTCACTTGCCAACTGTGTATCTACGTGGACAACATTGTCCACCTATGCAGTAACTTAATGGATAACCGGCAATTGTGTGTAAATTTTAGGGTAAAGGGTATGAGAGACATGTAATTTTCGAGTTTGAGGGTCCATAAAGACCAAAAAAAACAATATTGGTCTTTTAAAACCTAAAGTAAAAGTTAGATGGGTCTCTATAACAAAAACCCTTTCAGGTATATCAGATGATCGGGGCAAGGCAAACGCGTGATTGTACACACATCATGGGATTTATGTTGAGAGATGTTTTTAGGCGCTCCGATTTGATAACTTTGTTTTTGGAAACAACGTTTTGTATGACTTGTGGATTTTAAAATGGTTTCGAAAAATGAAATTTTTTACTATGATTTTTGGGACGTTACAATACAATTATGGAAAAGCTCATAAAAAGATTTTGTTAATCAATTCAAATGACATAGGACCCATACAATTAATAAAAAGCTCATAAAAAGAGTTTGCTAATCAACAAGCAACTTGAAAATGTTTTGATTTTAAAAAGCTCTCCTTATAGTTTTGTCGTTTTGAATAGCTTTTTTCGTATGAAAAATTCATATTTGGGATGCCTTATTGAAATGTAATGTTTGGTGAGACCACAAAAATAATTTATTAAAAAATTAGTTAAGATACCTTATTGATAAGTTCATGAGTTCTTTTACACAAGTTTTCAAATATACTTTTATATGTTTTTTTTCATAAGTTTTCTAAATATCATTTTATATATGTCATCTAGCTTATCAGTTAGTTTTTACCAAAACTTTATTATTTTATGAGTTAGCTTATCAACTACCAACTAGTTTTATCAAGCACATTCAACTGTCTCCAAAAACATGAATTATATTAAATTACCATTTTACCCTTATATTTCAAACCAAACTTCATATCATTCATCATTTTAAACATGAAAATAATTGAAAGAAAAGAAAAAAAAAGGCAAATGGATTAAGATTCAACAAGTTAACAAGTTAAATCTGAATTTTTGGTTTAATCCATAAGTGTTGTAAAAATTTTGATTAGGTCCCGATTAATTTCATATTAATCATTAGGCGCTACCCAACCGACTAAAAAGCGCCTAATGATTAATCTCCGCCTACAAAATGAGCGAAGCAGTAGAAAACGATGAATTTTTAATACTTTGAAGATATTTTATCTCAATAAAAACTATTTGATGAATGATTAATGTTGTAATTATATTTTAACCTATTTTTTTATGATATTAGTGGTATTTATAAACTTTGTTATGATATTAGTCATATTTAATTTTTTAAAACTCAACGAATTAGAAATTTAGAGTCCCCGCTTAATCCTCCGAGTTATCCCTGTCTAACTGATTAATCTCTCAACCTCAGTCCACCGATTAGTTAACGTCAAACGTTTTTTACAACCTAACCCATTACTTAACTACTTATGTCCAACACAAGTCAACAACATATATATGCTCATATCAAATGTTTAACCTATTAGGGTTAAGTAAATAAACAACCCCCAAGTGATATACATCACCTTTAGACCATCAAGTCATTTATCATAATATTATATGCATTTGTTTCGATCCAAAAATCAAAAGTTTAATTACTTGTTGTAGGACTAAATGGAAAAAAAAAATAATAACAACATACTTTTAGTGATTTGTTTATTGTAATATCCTTCATTGCTTTCTTCTACAAAATTTGTATGTTTACACTAAATTAAAGCAATGTTATATTATCTCCTTCAAGTTTCAGATAGAAGAGATCCCTATTACTTGGAAAGATTCCACACGAACAAAGCATATGGTTTCTTTCATTCATAAATAATATTGCAACAAAAAGAATCATAGCCAAATAAAATGGCTTATATTCCTCATAATCTACTACATTACATTCCTTACACAGGTGGTAACTCTTTAACACAATCTGAAGCATCAGAAAGAAGCCTCTGATTGGCTGGTTTTAAACCCTTCCTCAGCCACCGCTTCACAAGAGCCAGTTCAATTTTCCTCACCTGTAAACAATTAATTGATTACAGCCTTTATATTTGCATCTATAAATCAAACAATATGGTAATTTTAATGCTTTGTTTCCTATTTTGACTTAAAATTATCTACATAAATTAAATCTTTTTTCGCATGAACCTTACTACTTGTCTACAATATCAAATTTTTATATATGATGTTAAAATGACAGTATCATGTAAAACATACCTGCTTAACAATGAAAGGCTCCTCTGCAAGACTTAATGGTGCTGTTAATATTGTAAGAAAACCATTTCTGTTTCCATAAACAATGTCTGTGAAAGGACGATCACCCACCTGAAATAAACAGTATAGTTTTATTTTTTTTATTAAAATTGAATACCAAATTGAAACTATTTAGAAATAACTTAAAAGTACCATTATCAGTTTTGATGAATCACATCCAAAGTGTCTCTCGATTTCTTCAGCTGAGCCAGCTGGCTTTTTCATCTCTAGAGTAATTGTAAACAAACAAATATATATTTGTCAGGATTGTGATTGATTTCTCTAGAGTAATTGTAAACAAACAAATATATTGGCTCTTCTCCTAGTAAACTTTAAAGTTATTGTTCTATCATCTATGTCGTTTCTTGATTTTGTACAAGTGAGGAAAGACTTAGATGCATGTGTTCTTGATCAAACCATGACAACCAAAATGAAAACCATGCAAATTATCTAACAAATGAATCATGAAGTGAAAGAAATCAACTTTATTGACTTACTATGTCTAATTACTCGAATTCCAATGACATATTCAAGTGCTCTAGCTTTCCTGCCATCAGGGTCATACTCCTGAAGTCCTGATCACCATTAAAGAAAATCATAAACTTATCAAACACAATTAAAGAACACAATATCATCTATTGTCTTGAAAATTGAAATTAGATTACCAGCAGAGTTGCTGAAAACTGCAATGTTGTTGCCAAAAACAGATTTACAGGACTCCACAGACGATGCAAGAGGCCCCCATAGAGCTAAAGAGTAAGGAGCAGTAAGAGTATTGTCCTTATCAAAGACAACGCCTTCGAACCCCTTTCTTCTTAAGGCATCCCAATCAATGTATCTTATATCAGGGACTGATACATGAGGCATCACCCACTGCTTGTTTCTAGTTATTACCGATACTGAAAAAAGCAGTCCCTCGACGTTGATTCTCTGCCCTACTGCTGCTTTTAGGTCTGCCCACCACATGTTTGCGAAATTTCCTGTACTCGATTCACCCCTATTTCTATCTGTATTTTCTCTGATTTCGTTTCCGATGATCAGTCTTCTATCGTTCTTCCCCCGTGTGCCATTGAGATAGATGGGAGAGGAATCGTAAAATCGATTCAAGAACGCCCTATCACCATCGTCGTAGTCGTCAAGGTCTCGATTTTGATGATTTTCCTTGTTGTCCTGCTCTTCGTCTCGGCTGTCTATGGCGGAGAGGGAGTAAAAGATGCCGGTGGAGAAA